AAAATCAAAACAACAACATAAAACCTCTCATGAAGACTTGAGATAGATGGCTGCCCGCCAACAAGGCAAAAAAAAAAAAATTCCAAGGATGCTGTGTGTCTGCTAGATGACAACGTAGCACCAAGGAAAAGCAATGAGGTTTTGAAAAACTCCAGAGTCTCTAAACAGCATAGAGAGAGAGCTGGAAACCTGGATAAGCAGGCTGTATTTAAGGGCTGAATAGGTTCTCCTGTGACTTAGGTAACAGCACTCACACATGTGTTGCTTGGTTGGTTGTTTTCCTCAGCTCCCCTGTTACCCCTCCTCCCTTTCTGTGCTCCTTCACCTTCATTTAAACAGTCATTCCCCACCAAGTCCCTGTCTTTGTCCATTGCATGAGCCATTTCCAGCTGAAAGCAAGCACCCATTCTTTATGATGTTAATCCTGATTCCAACCCCACTAGTGAGATCCGACAACCATGGCCTGCAAAGTCCCCTCGGCAGACATTCCTCTCTGCAAATATTCCTCCATCTGAGGCACTCTTCTTCCTTCACCACTGGGGCAGCTCCACCCCTCATGCATCACTACTCCATAGACTCCCGATGAGTCCCTCACCAAACTGTTATCTTTGGTATAACATCTACTAACTGAAATAGTCTGGGGAAGAATCAGTGGGTAAAAACCGATGTAAGAGAATGGTGACTTCAGGAGGGTTTGTAGTCTGTGAAGGAGACAAACATTACAAAAGCAGAGGAACAAGAAAAAAAAATAGAGTTTCTGCTAAGAACTATGAATACTCTAAATATGCTGCCGTAGTGGATAATAATGGTAGAGCATAAATTTTGCATTCAAAGATTTCAGTGGAGGTAGTTATCAGGTTCTGAGTGGAAGGATATGAGCGAAATAGGGAAATTAGAAAAGGAATGTTCTAGACTAAGGGGCAGAAAGGTTTCATCCTAAACCACCACAGGGTTCATGTCACAGTGTGTCAGAAGGCCAGCGAGGCTGAAGCATAGTGAATGCCAAGAGTTCCATGGCATGAGGGTGCTAGCTGGCATTTGCAGGGTTCTTTTCTTGGTGGACTTGTCTGAGGTGTTCAAGTGGATTATCACATTTCTTACTTATATCCTCTTACAATATTTATCCCTGTTTGGTGAATTAGAGAACCAAGCCACAAGGAAATCGTGTTCTTTGTGCAAGTCCACAAAGATACTGAGGTGAGCTGAGAGTTCAGTCCAGGAAAGCTGACTCTTGACCTGTGTTACATTGCTACCTCTTTGCATTTACTTTAAGGAAACTTTCGAAGACACTTTATAAATATCATAAGACATTTGGATCTTATTTTTGTTGGAAATGTAAAGTCCCTGATGGCTCTTAGAAAGGGATACAATGCTCAATTCCCATGATTCTCTGAACTTCTTCACTGGCTCCTTTTCACCTTCACCTTTCCATCTCATTAGCCCCATCTCCCGGATTTGTGCTGGTCAACCACATTTGCTATTACTGTGAGATTTCAGGACTTCTAAAACAAGTCACAACCTACTTAGACCTCTTCAGTAGCCCACTGGAGCCTTCATGGGAAGGTCCAACCTCATCAGCCTGGAACAAACAGTACTTCCAGACAAGTCCTTGCTTCCCCTGTCTTGTTCAAGCCAAGTTTGTGCCCTTCCTTTTTCCCCTGCAACAGGCTAGAAAAGACTATGGACGAGCAGAACTTTTGCTAAGATAGACTTCATCTCCCGTTCCTTCTATTGTCGCATATTTGTCTCTCTTCCTGTCTGACAGCACCTCCTTACAGCTACCAGTCCAGACCTCTCCTCCTGCTGCTTTACATGGCTAAGTTCATCTGCTACTTACTTAAAAGAAAACACCAACTGCTAAACCCTCATCATCTGCAGAGTCAGGGAAGCCATCTCACTGCCTTTACTGTTTACAGATGCCCCATGACCCACCACGTTCATTTCAGAATTTATTACTTGTATTTTGACTAATAAAATATGTGTCATTTGAAGGGATGAGTCTTATTCATACAATGTCTGGAATGCGATAATAAAAGCTTGTATAAATGATAGAAGATAAATAAACTGCAATAATTCAAAATCAAGCCAAAAAGTAATCAATGGTGAGCAGGGGCTGCATGATTTAATATTTCAGGGACCATATACCATTTCAAATGACAGTGTACAAAGCTATTCTACTATTTAAGTTTCTCCAGACAAAACCAAACTAGTATTATCTGAATCAATTAGCAGGTCTCTTTAAACACCTCTCTCATGTATATAATGTTTGGATCATAGAGTACATAATTTGGAAACCTGAGGAAAAGTTATGATATGTATAATGTTAGTATATAATTCTTTAATGCAAAAAATATGTTTTTGATGACTGTAGAGATTGTAACAATATTTCATTTTTATTTTAATAAATAAAGCTTGCCTGAAGATCAGAGAGTAAAACAGCCACACTGGTCTGCATTATAGACCAGGAATTGATGACACACACCTTTAATCCAAGTAGCCACACTAATTTGCCATAGAAACTGAGTGGTAGTTGTGCACGCCTTTAATTCCAACCCAAGAGAGGGATATAAAATGGAAGGAAACAACTCTCAGACACAGTCTCATTCTGAGATTCCTGGAGGCAGGATCGCCATTTCAGACTGAAGTAGGGGTACGAGCCAGTGGCTGGCTGTTTTTTTTTTTCGTTGTTGTTGGTTTTTTTTTTTTGTTTGTTTGTTTGTTTTTGTTTTGTTTTGTTTTGTTTTTGACCTTCAGGTTAAACCCTAATATCTGTCTCTGGGTTTTTATTAATCATGCCACAGGAAATGTTTTGACATATGTGACCCCAAGTTTAGAAATTAGATAATGGAGGTCGTGAGAGGGAAATATGCTAGCCAGAGGTTCAGCAGCCACTAAGGTACAGAACCGAACTAAAGCCCAAGTCTTCTAAATCTACATTGCATAACTCAATTAAGGCTAACATGGGAAGATGTTATAGAATCTTCTAAAGTATTTACTTAGGAAAAAGTGCTCCAAAGGTGTACTATAAGTTAGGAATAAAACTTAAGCCTATACAAGGCATTAATTTTTAGTTTCAAGAATGCTAAAAAGCCCCAAAGTTCAGACTTCTGAAACAACTTGAATTTTTAATGAATTCGTCTTGCTACAAAGGCTTAAAATCTTCGAGCTTTTATTTGAGTCTGAAGTAAATGCTGTTTTGGTTTTGAGAATATTCATGTACTCCAGACATTTTGTCATTCACTAGCCCAGAAAAGCCAAATATTACTTTTATCCTCTCAGCGTAAAGTGAAAGAAATGAATTTAGATAATTCATTTCTAGGACAGAGGTAAGAGTTTCATATGTATTTGTGCTGTGACCATGAAAAACCATGGCATTCCGGTTTATGATTAACTTTTAACTTCATGTTCTAGAGGTAGAGTTCAAAAGGATATAGCAATTGGTAAGTTTTATAGAAAAAAATCCTTGAACAAGTCATGTATTTGAGTCAAGTGATTTAAACAAAAAATGGAAATATAGAGTTCCCAAAGAAGACATAGTGATTAAGACGCTCCCAGTGATTATTTCCCCGTTCATTATAGAGTTACACATTTTTGTCTAAACATTTTTTTAATTTTCAGTAAGATAAATATGTCTAATATTTAGCTTCAAGGAAGATCATGAGCGACAATAAAAAATGATAATGGAAGATCTTTGCCTGATGGCCCTCACCATCCTTGCTTCAGCTTCCGACTTAAGGATGCTAGGGATGCAGACACAGACGTCCAGTCTGACCTCAGATGAGTCTCAATGTCCTTGGCTTTGAGGCAGGACCGGCTGCATAGTTGCTTTGCACTGGGTCAATAGTAGTGAACCGCACACCACTGTCAGCAACTCTTCCAAAACTCCACTGAACAATCATTTATTTAAGAAAATTCCCTGAATTGGTGTCACCTAATAATAACCAAGGTAGTAGGGGAACACAGGAAAAATAGCCCAGATGTAGCATGAGGAAACAGAGGCATTATAATAATGATTCAATTCAACAATTGGGAAAGTAATCAGTCTTGGTCTAACATTGGTTTGACCCAGAGATGTTCCACTCTGTGACCCCCAACCCTGGACAGTCCACTGGGCAGCCAGGGGCAGTCCACTTGTACAGAGCCTACCTGGAACTTCCCACACTTAAATATTCTCAGATAACCCTGTCATAGCCCACGCTTAGCACCTGTAGCTTCCCTACCCTCAACTCGCTGATGTAAGCCTGTCCCAAAGACCCCAGAGTGTTCAACCATCACTCCCACAGAGGTTGTTGTCTTTCATTGTTCTGATTTTAAGGAAAGTTTCCTTCCGTTGAGGTTGGAGTTGTGCTCTTCTTTCTTTCCCAGGCATCATAGTCTGTCCCTAATCTAAAAATCAGAAAGATGCTAAAGGCCAGAGAATCTATTCCCAGCAAAATAAGAAACACATCAAAACAATGTTGATTTGTGACCCAGCGTGTAAAATTTTAAAAATGGAAGGTTGGGTGTCATTATAGATCAAGTTAATTAGAAGAACAGTAGGGGACAAAGCTGGGAAATTTGGAAGGTGTCTAACATGCCACATACATGCTGTTAAATTTATATTTTTCTTAAGTGATTTGTATCATCATTGCTGCCTTGAAAACAAACAAGAAAATGAAGAAGAAAATAAGTAACATGGTCATATATAGACTTGAGGTGTGTCGTGCTGAGGATAGTTATGAAGTCAGTTTCTGAGGGCAGAGGAAAAAACTAACACAACTGTTATAGATTTTTTTCTTAAAGAATATCAAGGAGAAACTAATTATTGATGAATATGGAAAGAAATGATTTTTTGAAAATCAAAGATGAGATGATAATAATTGATGCAAATGGCACCTAATTAATGATTTTTTTTAAAAAAAAAAGGAAGATGCTTTGAGTGACAGTTTCTGACCTACTTATGGAATGAGTGCTGGTTTTAGAAAGTCATCAATTTAAGGAACAAATATAGAGATCATGTAAAGACTGTATTTGCTGAGATCAGATATGGTCCAGGACTAGAGAAGTTTCTGGGACTGTGTAGAGTATCCAAGACCACAAGAATAAAAGGTAGCCTTCCCTCCTGACTGTGAAGCTGCTTCTTGGTCTTGCTTTCCTACAGCTGCCTCTTGTCATTGCTAATTGTTCTTTTCTTCCTTTGGGAGAGGGAGAGACAGAGAGGCAATTTGAGTGCACAAATCACAAGGATCATGTTTTTTTTTCTTTTCAGGTACAGATTTTATTTATTACTATTGCACACATGTTTGTATGATGTATCTGTCCATGGGGATGATAGAATGCAACTTTGTGAGGTCACTTCTCTCCTACCTTTACATGGGTTTCCAGGATCTAACTCAGAACATTGGGTTTGCACAGCAATTGTTCCTACCAACTGAGCCATCTTGCTGGCTCCTAAAGGTCAGTTTTTAAAAAGAAAGACAAACACTTTGGTTGTGTACAAACTGTTCTTGGGGAAACTATAGAGCTACCAAGTCGAAATATGCATGAATGTTAAGAAGAAACGGTCTATAGTCAGGAGGTAAACCTGTATTGAGGTGTGATTCTATGTCAAATACAAAAGTGAGAGTTGAAATGATGAATGTGGTGATACTGTTCAGCAACCACCTAGAGTGAGAAAGTACACACATTTTAATAAAATCTAAGCAGTTTTTCCTCTCATCGAAAATGCTTTTAGCACTGGATATAAGTCATCATCGATGAACTCAAAGTCATCTTGATTTTCTTTTATGCTTTTTAGGTTTGCATTTTATATTATGCATATGAGTTAAATTTTATGATGGAATAATGGCTGTTTTTAAATTCCTTCCTTTATTTGTAGATACCTAGATGTTCTAGACCTCTTTGTTCAAGACTAGCTTGGTTTCACTGTTTCATGTTCTCTCCTTTGTCAATATTTCATTCAAAAATTTCTGTTCTGCCAAATATCAGGAGAATAAAAGCACAAGTCATAGATTAAAGGAAATGTTTGCCAAAGAATTCACATAAAGAATTCTTACCAGAAATGTGCAAAAGACTCTTAAATTTTAACAATATAAAAATGTACAACTTGATTACAAATGGGCCAAACATTTCAATAGTTAATTTCCCTAGAAAAGAAATAAATAAAATGTGGAGATAAATACTCCTTGTAATAGATCATTGGGAAATGAAAAATAAAATAAAGAGATACTATTACATACCTATTACACTGCACCCAAACCAGAGAGAGCACTTATTTTGCAAAATTCTGGAGAAAATGTGGAAAAGCCGGGATTTCCATTATTTGTTGGTAGAAAGGTATGTTGGAAGACAGTTTGGAACTGCCTTATAAAATTTATAAAATTAAGCATGTTCTTTCACAATCACCAGACTCAATCCTTTATATTCATCCAAGGGGAATGAAAATTGGCATTTGAACAAAAAAAAAAGTTAACAGCAGATTTATTTACAGTTGCCCAAATGATAAACAATTAAGATGCCTGTTAGGAGGTGACTGGATTGACTACAGTGCATACAGTCAATGGCTTATTATTCAACACTAAAAAGAAATTATCTAGAAAGCCAGAAAAGACATGGAGGAAAGTTCAGTGTGCATTAATAGAAGTCAGTTCAGAAAGGCCATACCGGGATGGGCTTGGTCTGCAGTCAGTGGGTTGGGATAAATAGTTTGGGAAAAAAGTGACATTTTAGAAAACGCAAAAGTGGAAATATTAGGAAGAGTGTTGATTGTTAAGCAAGGAAGGATAAATCAGAGCACACAAATGTTTAGGGCAGTGAAACTATTCTGTGTGGCACCATGATATACCAACGGTGAGTTCTGATGTGAACTCTAAAGTCTAAAAGACTTTGCTTCATAAAATGTTGAAAGACATTCATCAGTAGTGACAAATTCATCTCTCTAGCGAGGGATATTCATAACAGGGAGTTATGAGCAATGAGAGAAGCTAAACCTAGGTAGGTGAAGGGATACAATGGGAAACTCTAACTTTCACTCAGTTGCTATGGTAGCCTAAAATTTTACTAAATGATGAAGTATATTAAAAGAGAGAAAAAGAGAAATGAAAATGAAGAAATGGACATTAGGAGCTAGGGACATAGCGCAGGTGATAAAGTGTCACAAGCAGGAAGATATGAACCCTTATTTGATGCACATGTGTGTGTGAGCGCCCGCGCGCGCGTGGACACACACACGCGCGCGCACACACACACACACACACACACACACACACACACACTCCCAGTGCTGGGAGGAGACTGGAGACTCTCTGGTGGGTGCTTTCCAGTCTGTCAAGCATACTTTGCAGACTTCAGGCCAGTGAGAAATCCTGTCTCAAAACTTACTAGACCTGGATGGAGGTGGGTGGTCCTTGGACTTCCCACAGGGCAGGGAACCCTGATTGCTCTTTGGGCTGACGAGGGAGGGGGACTTGA